CCGGTGTTGGTTTTGCCCACAGGTTCAGGGCCCTATACAGTCTATTGTGATGCATCTCGTATTAGACATGGTGCAGTGTTGATGCAGGATGGCAAGGTAATTGCCTATGCCTCGAGGCAGTTGAAGGTTCATGAGAAGAACTATCCAGTGCATGATTTGGAGTTGGCAGCCATTGTTCACGCATTGAATATTTGGAGGCACTATCTGTATGGTGTGGCATATGAGGTGTTCACGGATCATAAGAGTTTTCAGTATTTGTTCAAGCAAAAGGAGTTGAATTTGAGGCAGAGGAGGTGGTTGGAATTGTTGAAAGATTATGACATCACTATCTTATATCACCTAGGAAAAACTAATGTGGTGGCCGATGCCTTGAGTAGGAAGTCAGCCAATATGGGCTGTCTGGCTTATATTCCGGTTGGTGAGAGACCGCTTGCTTTGGACGTTCAGGCTTTGGCCAATCAGTTTGTGGTTGGATATTTCTGAGCCTAGTCGAGTATTAGCTTGCACGGTCGCTCGTTCTTCGTTATTGGAGCGTATCCGTGATCGGCAATTCGATAATCCCCATTTGTGTGTCTTGAGAGACACGGTGCAGCGTGGAGGTGCCAAGAAAGTAACCTTAGATGATGACGGCGTATTGAGATTACAGGGGCGAGTTTGTGTGCACAATGTTGATGGGATTCGAGAGTTGATCTTAGCGGAGGCCTACAGTTCTCGGTATTCTATTCACCCAGGTGCCGCAAAGATGTATCAGGATCTGAGGCATCACTATTGGTGGCGTAAGATGAAGAAAGACATTGTTGCGCATGTGACTCGGTGTTTGAATTGTCAGCAGGTTAAGTACGAGCATCAAAGACCTGGTGGTCTATTTCAGAGGATTGCACTTTCCGAGTGGAAGTGGGAGAGGATTACAATGGATTTCGTTACTGGACTTCCGATGACTCGAAAGAAGTTTGATGTAGTTTAGGTCATTATTGATAGACTGACCAAGTCAGCGCATTTTGTTCCTGTTGCAGCCACCTATTCGTCCGAAAGGTTAGCCGAGATTTATATCAGGAAGATTGTTCGCCTTCATGGGGTGCCGCTATCTATCATCTCGGATCGGGGTATGTAGTTCACCTCACATTTCTGGAGAGCGGTTCAGCGAGAGTTGGGCACCCAAGTTGAGTTAAGTACAACATTTTATCCCCAGACGGACGGTCAGTCCGAGAGGACTATTCAGATTCTTGAAGATATGCTCTGAGCCTGTGTTATTTATTTTGGAGGCTCGTGGGACCAGTTTTTGCCTTTAGCAGAGTTCGCCTACAACAACAGCTACCAGTCCAGCATCTAGATGGCTCCGTATGAGGCGTTGTCTGGTAGGCGATGTCAGTCTCCAGTTGGATGGTTTGAGCAGGGAGAGGCTCGATTATTGGGTACTGATTTGGTTCAGGAGGCCTTGGACAAGGTCAGGATTATTCAGGATAGACTTCGTACAACTCAGTCCAGACAAAAGAGTTATGCAGACCGAAAGGTCAGAGATGTTGCTTTCATGGTTGGGGAGCGGGTATTGCTCCGTGTATCGCCTATGAAGGGCGTGATGAGATTTGGGAAGAAGGGCAAGCTCAGCCCTAGGTTCATCGGTCCATTTGAGATTCTTGATCGTGTGGGAGAGGTGGCTTATAGACTTGCCTTGCCACCTAGCTTGTCAGCTGTGCATCCCGTGTTTCATGTATCTATGCTCCGGAAGTATCGCGGAGATCCATCGCACGTGTTAGATTTCAGCACTGTCCAATTGGACAAGGATCTGTCATATGAGGAGGAGCCGGTGGCTATTCTAGACCGGCAGGTTCGACAGTTGAGGTCGAAGAGTTTTCCTTCGGTGCGTGTTCAGTGGAGAGGTCAGCCTCCTGAGGCATCGACCTGGGAGTCCGAGTCCGATATGCGGGGCCGTTATCCTCATTTATTTCCCGACATNATATGATATTATGGGATCGTGTGGCACGCTGTCCACTTATATATGATATTATGGGATCGTGTGGCACGCCGTCCACCTATATATGATATTATGGGGCCGTGTGGCATGCCGTCCACTTACATATNTTCTTCCTTGTTCCGCGCTTCCGAGGCCTTGAAAACCTCGCTTTTAGTTGCCTCGATTTGCATGCGCAGTTCGGGCGCGTAGCCGAAAAGTTTTTATGTTAGAAAATGTGAATTTTGTGAAAAATTTGATGAATTTTGATATTAATATGCATAAAATTGACTTCGGTCAACATTTTGGGTAAACGGACCAGACCTGTGATTCGACGGTCCCGGAGGGTCCGTAGAAAAATATGGGACTTGGGCGTGTGCCCGGAAGTAAATTCCGAGGTCCCAAGCCCGAGAAATGAATTTTTGTGTGAAATTGTTTTCTGAAATTAAT